GTCCATGGAAGGCAAATAAAACATATGAGATTTCTTTTGGCTGGTAGTGGTGGTTCATCGGTTTTGCTTGGGAAGCAAGAATCTGACCCTGGTTCTTGCTGGTTTTTTGCACCTCCATGTGTGACTTCTGCTTGTTATTCTCTTTTCTGGAAAATAAAACATTGCCACTGTATCGACAAAGGAAATGAGGGGGGTTTCTCGTGTAACTGTTGCAGTACTAGATTACCATTACATTTTACATTACCTTTTGTGTCGTGGAGTATTTTTTTTTTCCACCTTATTCATGTCTCCAAGCAGGTGTGGGTTTCCATGGGTGTTTGAGAGCCAGCAAGCCGGGGGCCTGAGATGCCACATCATCTGCTGAGCTGGCAGTGGAGGAGCCCACACGCTGTGTGGGATGAGCCCACGTGGGTACCCTTAGAAAGCATTGAAAGTGTAAGATGAAGTGTAAGATAAAGAGCATTAGTGTGAAAGGGCTCGTGAATGTGGATGTATCCCACCAAAATAAGAACTAGTGTAGCAAACACTGCTTCTTCCCTTCTCCCGCTGCTTCAGAGGCATGCTATCAATGCTCTACTTTCCGATGACCTAGCTTCTGGTACCGGGCTCCACCGCCACGGCCTCTCAGCCTGAGCTGCCCGGGAGTGGGGCCGAGCCCCGACAGCCGCCGCCACATCCACACCGCTTCTCGGCGCCGTGTGGCAAACCCACACAGAGACACACACAGACACACAGACACACAGACACACAGACACAGCCCCCGACACACACGCACAGACACAGACACACACCCTCACACACATCCCGAGGCAGGGGACACCTCGCCGCCCCCGCAGAGCCCGCCCCGGACCTCCCCGATGTTTCTTGTCCGCTGCTTCTCCCGAAGGCGCGTACGGGAGCCCGCCCGGCGGTGCGGGGAGAACCAGGCGCTCCCAGGAGCTCCCAGCACCGGGGGCACTGCCAGACACCGGGAGGGAGCCGCAGCCCTGTTTGTTCACGTCCCTCCGGCTCTAAGAGCTGGAGGGGGCGAGGGGCCGGGATTCCCTGTGGGAGGTTACTCGGAGGCTCGGGAGGCCTGGCAGGAAGATTTCACAAATTGATGGTGGCACAGTGTGTGCCTGTACCTCCCGAGGGCTGGCACTGGGGCATTCCACGAGGAATTCGCCCCTCGTTTCCCACGTCGCCCCGGAGGCGGGGACAGCCTCCCTAAAAGCCCAAAAGTGCCTTACATGCCTAGCGCGGCGGACGTCTAAAGGTCGCCACGAAGTGCCGAAATGCCGAGATGACGGGCACGGGGAAACGCGACCCGGAGCCCCTCCGGTGCACCGGAGCGGACTGAGGGACCCATCACTCGGTGGCCCCGCGGGTGGCAGTCCAGCGTTTCTCCCGGCAGTGAAATTCAGGGCAGCAGGATGCACGGCCCCAGCGGGGTGGAGGCATCCCGCAGTTACGGCCCCGGAAGAAGTGGGAGCAGGACGCTGTAGAGCCTGGGCTCTCTGGGGGAGCTGCTCCCGTGCCTGCGGGACTGTGTCTCGCTGAGCTCGGGCATCGAAGCCTGGAAGCGCAAGGGCGCACATCCCCTCTGTATTCTTTGGAGGGGAACCGCTTTCGGTACTTCCCCGGGGAGGACAAACCGGTCAAAAAAAAAAAAAATTAAACTCCTCATCGCGTTGAAAAATTGCGTTCATTGGGTGTGGGGACAAAAGCTGTCTCTGACTTTTACGTTCATTCCCCTAATGCCGCGGAAACATAAGCCCTTCCAGAGGGCAGGAGCACCCCGAAGGACTTGCGAGTCAAATCCCCCTCAGCCGCGAGAGCACCTCCTGAGCCCGGCTTCCCCCGGCCTCAGTCGATGCTTTTAATTAAACGCAACTGCCCCTTTTTGTTAAATCCCCGCCGAGAAGGGTTAGGCTCCTACTTCTGGGGAGGCAGACGGCGTGTGCTGGCCGCTGAGCATCGGACTCTCCGACCAGGGCGGGGCGGTCGCAAAGTGCACCCCTGCCATCTCTGTAAGCACGGAGCACCTTGACAGGGAGAGGTGTGGGGCTGTTGCGCCAGTTTGTCACAAATCCATTAAAGGAAAGGCTCAGGGGCAGGATCTAGACCCCCCCCTCCGGAACCAACAGTCCGCCTGCGGTAGACACCCCAAATACCTCGGGGCACCGGGGCGGCTGCTGTGCAGGAAGCGCGGAGAGGAGTGCAGGAGCAAGTCCCCGACGGGAGAGCGGGGGAGGCGCTCACGGGGCCGGGGTGTGTGGGGCCAGGTGGGCCAGGCACGTCCCGTCAGGGATCGCAGCCACATCGCCCTCTGAGCTGGGGGGCGCCGGTGGAGGGCGAACCCTGCGTGGGGAACCACACTGGCAAACGCCCCCGTGAGACCCCGGCAGCCTCCGCGGGCAGAACGGGCCATCCGTAGATACCTTTGCTGTCTTTGCCAAGTCCCAGAACTTCATTTAGGAGCTGGAAACGAGAAAGTCGCCTCCCTCTCTTTTTGGGTTGTTTTTTTTTTTTTTTGGAGGGGGGTGGGTGGGAGGGTGGGAAGGAGGCTTGGTGGCCGCAGCCGTCCGCCTTAGCAGGTGTCGTTTGCGCCGGACGGGAAAGCCTCCGCGCCCCGCTGCCGCCCGTCCCGGCGCTGCCGCCCCCGCGGTGCGCGCAGCGAGCGCGCAGGTAGCGGGAGGGAAGCGGCGGCGGGAGCGCGGCTCCGAGAGCGCTGGGGCGGGTGCGGACAGCGGGAATGGCGAGGCCCAGGAACGGCAGCAACCATGCCCGCGGTACGGGAGCGCTTCCAGCGGGGAGAGCCCCTGCCGCTCGCTTTGCTGTGGGGCGCACGTCGGGCCGCGGCGGCGGCGGTCAGAGAGCCCTCGGCCCCGGGAGCCACCGCGGCGTGGCGGAGGATGTGCCGTGGTCCCGCTTGGCAAGGGCTGGTCCTGCTCCCCCTCGCTGCGCCAAGACAGCCCAGAGAGTGCTGCGGGCTCGTCGCTTGCTTCGCTCAGCTCTTCGGAGCCACTTGCACCGGGGATAATTTGGAGGGATTACAGGGGAAGTTGTTTTATCCGTTTCTTAAAGCGAATGATCCTTCTCTTTCCTTCTTATTTCTTTTTTTTTCTTTTTTTTTCTTTTTTTTTCTTTCTTTTTTTTTTCTTTTTTTTTTCATTCTTCTTCTCTAAAGTACGATATGAGTACCAAAGATAAATTAATGTGGGCAGGTATGTCCCGCTCCCCCCGCCTCACCCATCACTCCGGTGACGTGAGGAAAGACTCGCGAAGGAGCAGGAGGAAATTATGGGCAACGCCAACACCATCGGGTACGCTCCTCTACGGTGAAAAAAAAAAAAAAAACAGAACGACAAAACCCATAAATAGGGGATGGAAGAAAAAGGACTTGCAGCAAAGCCCCCCTCTCAAGCCCCAGGGGAGGAGTAGGCAGTAGGTTACCGGAAGGAGCAGAGATTAAGTCTACCTTTACCATGCTCAAAATTAAGAAGCATCCTAGTGTCTGTGCTGCTGAACAGCAAGGAGGCTTTCAAAACGCCGCTTTGCTAGGTAAAAATTACTCCGGGCACCTCTCCCGCAATTCCTCCCCCTCCGCGCACCCCGAAACCTGCCGAGGAGCACGAAATCTGCCTGGTCCTGCCGGGCACCTCCACGGAGCAGGCCTGCAGGTTTTCCTGTAATTCCGGGATTCCCTGTTGTAAGCTCTTAAACAGAATATTGAAAACATTTTCCTTATGGTGCCTGTTCTTGCCTTGTAGCGCTGGTACTAAACAAATAAGAAAAGTGTGTTAAAGGGAGGCTACGGTTACAGCATCTTGGCCTAATATTCCCACATATAATTAAAACCATAGCCACAATAATGCATAAATAAATAACAGCAAACAGAAGGGACCGTTCCTGTTCCTGTCGAAAACAACTGTTTTGGCTCTGTCACTGTATTATTTTATTGGAGCAGTCTACGCCATTCCCTCCTAATTTTATTTTAATTTATTTTTGTGGGAGAGACAGCAGGGAAAGAAATGATACATTTGTTTTTTTTTCTTTTAAGTCCATGTTTAGTTTTAATTTTCCTGTATTTTAAAATAAACACACTGGCTGCAGAGTGTTTGATCTTTGCAAGAAGGAAGCCTATATTGTAAAGGAATGTGCAGCAGTTTGGTATGAAAATGGGGTTGTGACTCACAGCTGCAGGCAGAAAAAAAAAGGTGTTGTGGTGTCAGCCAGAGGTGTTCAGTCTAATAACTCAAGCTGTAAACTGTATCCTCTAAAATTACTTACGTAGTAAATCACTCTGGAGTTAAAAAATAGACTGGAAAGTGTAAGGGAGGGGGGAAAATCTTTTAGAAGTTCCCTTCATGAAAATTATTAGTAATGATGGGAATTAAGAGTTTAATATCTCCCTCATTTTCTTAAATGTGAGGCTGATATAGTTAATTGCCACTGTATAGCCGATGGTGCTTACTCTCACTCTTTCTCGAAGCAGCAGAAACTCGAAACGCGTGTTTGGGAATAGCTGTTTCATTGACTGCTTTACACGGTTTACAGCTAATTTTGACCATCTCGAAGAGAAAAAAAAAAATAAAGAGACAGTCAGGGCAGCGAAAGATCTTAACAATTTTGTATCGCAGCGAAAACCCTCGGAATAGAGGCTACTCCCTCTGCACAGCCGAGGGGAAACATGCCTCTCTCCCCGAGACACGGCGTGTTTCCATCTCTTTGCCTCCCGTAGGTGTATTGGTCTGGTAACACTTGGGAAACTGGGGAGGCTTTGAAAGGAGAGCTCTCTTCCAGCGTAAGTGCTGGGTTTGCAGCATTCCAATCCGGGAGAGCAGGGGGGGAAAAATTAACCCTCAACTCCGGTGTCATCTGCAGCGTTTTGCTGCAAAGGAATGGAGCGAGTAACGAGGCAGGAATCCGAAAGGAGCATCCCAAGTAGAGATGTTGCCTTTCAGAGGAGCTTTCCCCGTTTCCAGGAGAGGTTTCCTTCGCTGGAAAGGAGATGTTGGCCGTGACTTTCGGGTGGTTGCACCTCGGCTGATAGGGAAAATAACTTGCTGGGAAGATTTCCATCAAGAGACACACTGAGAGGTGAGGCGAAAAAATTAAAATAAGTAAAGTAAAATAAAATAAGAAAAAATAAAACAATAATTAAAAAAAACCTGGGGAAAATGCCCTACGGACGTCAGCAAATGTTTAGGGTGGAAATGAGAAGTCAACAACAATTAAAATCTGGAAGCCACGTTCATTAGTATTCAGCACATACGATCTATCTTTTATGTTTATCTTTCTCCACGGATCAATATTGTAGCAGCATGTGCCGGGAACAAGCAGAAATCTGGCCACTGCATGTGGCTGACCTTTCCCTCTCTCCCTACAGGTCAGATCGTCTTCATCAAAACAGGTCAGATCGTCTTCATAACTATCATCACCTTATGCGGCCACAGCCACGGCTCTCATTAAAACCGGTATTTAATCTAGGCGCTGTGGCTAAGAATCAAAGGAGAAGGGGTGTTTGCCCACACAGAGGAATTAGCAGTCTAGGAAGAAGAAGAAGAAAAAAAAAAAGTTGGAATGAAAATTGCTCTTTTTTTTTTTTCTTTTCTATTTTCTTTTTCTTTTCTTTTTTTTTTTTTTTCCCCACCGCAAGCTGCTGTACACCGAGGTCCAGCCCGAACCCGCGCACACCGCTCAGCCCCCGTCTCCTGCGGGGGCTCCGCGCCAGGAGCGCGGGTCGGGCCAAGCCCCGTCCCCGCTGCCCCCGGGACGCCCCGACCGCGGCCACCCACGGACACGGACCTGCGGCGGGGCGGCCGGGGCGCTGCGCCGAGCCCCCCACGCCGGCGGAGCCCCGCGGACAGGTGTCGGGGAGATCCCGTCCCGCGGCCGCAAGCCCTGCCCGCCTGGGGCCGGCTCACGCCGGGAGCCCCCCGCGGACCCCACGGCCGCCCCCAGCCCCCTGCGAGGTGCGATGCCGCGCGTGTAAAACACCCGCTCAATCACTTACTGGCGCTTGAATTACTCCCCACCCTCCTCCCCTGCTTTAGTTGCCGATTATGTTCTTTTTAACACCAAAAGAGCGTCCTTCCCCCTCCGGAACGCAGCAGCTGATCCCGCGCGTGGGGCTCCGGCGCGGCGAGGGCGCCGCTGGAGGGGTCCCCGCTCCGCTCCGGGTCCCGCCGCTCCTCCCTGCCGGATCCCCCCGTTCCTCGTTGAAAAGCGCTTGGGACCACGGGCGAGGGACGCGGGGGATCCTGCTCGTGTTTCCCGCGCTGCGAGGAAGTGGGATCCGCGCTCCGTTTGGTGCCGCGCTTCCTTTTCTCGGGACAGCAGTTAGGCAGCCACTTTGAAGTGTTTATTAAAGACATGAAACCTCTAGCGAAGGTCTTCCCTCACCGGTCTTCCTATCCTTTTTCCTTCTTCTTCTCTTTTCTTTTATTTTCTTCTTTTCTCTCTCCCAAAAGTATTAATGACAGAGAAACCGTCCTGAAAATAAAATTTTAAAAGATAAAAAAAAAAAAAAGAAGAATAAAAGAAAGAAAGAAAAGTGAGGAAACCACAAGCACTGGGGAAGGCTTGCACTTTGGGACAGAGGGGGGCACCGTGCCCTGCAGGGTGGGACAATAGTTTTTGCTTGCTCTGCTGCTAATATGCAGCTCCATCCCTGGTCGTCTGGCTCGGGGAAAAGAGGAAAAAACCAAAAACAATAGGGGAAAAAAAAATCTGAAACCTAAGAGGAATGAAAAAAAGGAGTGGGGGGGGAAAAAAAAGAGGAAGAAAAAAAAAGGGACCCATGAAATTAAAAAACACCACCTCAAAAAAAAAAAGAAAAAAAAAAGAAAAAATAAAAAAATTAAAAAAAAAAAACAAGCCTCACAACCATGCGTGAAGATGACAAATTGAAAAATATACATACCTCGGTGTGCTCGGGAAGGCACAGTTTAGTGTGCACTTGTGGCTGGGGACAGGTTTGGGGGAGCCTACTATGTCTTCATAGCGGGCAGGAAATGTGTACGAGTTTCTGAAAACAAAGGGGAAACTTAAAAGGCTGATACGGGTTTGGGGAGGTCTGGCCAGAGCCAAACGGAGCGGCTGCAGCCCGGGCTGCTGCCCCCGGCACCGGCGGCGGGGCTTGGCCGTGCAGGGGCAGCCCTTGCCCGCTGCGGAGCCCCGCCGGCACCGGCACCGACAGCGCCAGCGGCGCCGCCAGGCTCAGCAGCCGCTCCGCGCTCGGGTTCGGGCGAGAGCTCCTGCATTTTATTCTGTTTCGGTCTGGGCTGTTGTCATGTCTGTTTGTTTGTCGGGAGGTTGGTTTACCTTTGGGTTTGGGTTCGGGTTTTTTTCTGCCTCCACCGGCTGGAACCCAAAGGCACCAGAGCAGCCCAGCCAGGTGGAGCGGAGCTGGGGCAGGTGGAGGCAGAGCCCTGAACTGCCCTCCGATTGTGGGTGCGGGGGGCAAAGCACAGCCTGTTGTAGGGACAGACCCCCAATTTTTTTGGCTTGAGAAGAGAGAGTAATTCCCAGGGAAATCAATCCGTCTTTTCAGGGGGCCCGCAGGAAGAGTTGGGAGAGAATTTCATTATTATTAATAACGATAAAAATTAAAGCCACCCCTCCATGCTGCTTTTCACGGTATAAAGAAGGAATCACACCACGGCAGGACAGCCGGCCAAGTGGGGCTGCTGCCACAGCTGGGCACGGGATGCCGGCAGCGGGGCAGAGCCGTGCTCCCGCTGCTCACCGACGGCGGGGCCGTGGGGCCGAGGCGAGCCGGGAGCCGTCGGGGCAGAGCCGTCGGGGAGTGCGGCCACCGGCCGCCGGCTCGCTGCGGGCATGAGGGCGACGCGGAATGATGCCAGGGCAGGCTCGGGACTGCTGCGGAACCCTCAGGCCCCCCTCCAGATTGGTTCCCAAGCTGTCTGCAGGGCCAGGGCAGGGAGATTTGGCAAGTGCAGGTTCAGCGTAGGAGACAAAGCTGGGGAGAGGGAGGGGTTTAGGGTTGACGGTGTCGAGGTGGACAAAGGACAGGGGCGAAGAGGAGGACTTCGGGGCCAGTGGGCCACCCTCGCACAAGGCTGTGAGAGGGATCTTGGCTGCTCTACCCCCTAAAAAAACCCCAACCCCTGAACCTGATGACTTCCCGCTCTCGTTTGAGCGTGGCAGGGCCGGGCCAGGGTCAGGGCACAAGGGAGGCGGGTGGAGAGGGGCTGCGGGCGGGATGCGCCAAGGCGAGGGTCAAGTTCAAGGCCAGCCTGGGTAGGACAGGGAAGGAGGGGGAGCTTACTCACTGCCACAGCCGCCACGGCCGCGTCCCTGGGCCTGCCGGAGCAGAGGCATCCCTGCCGGAGGGACTGGGGCTGTCCTTGCTGCCACACGACCTGCGCTTCGGCCAGAGGGAGGCCGCCTAGCCCCCTCAAGGATCATCCCTGGGCTCCCCCGAAGGCAGAACGGCTCCGAGGGCAGGGAGAAGGGGAGCCCAGCTGCCGAGCGCTTCTCTCCGGTCGGAGATGAGCCCGCCGGGGAGGGGGACGGCGGAGCGGGGTTGGTGGCCCTTGGGCAGGGCTGCTCGTCCGCCCCTGGGCCCGGGAGGGGATTTGGGCAGACGGTGGCTGGCAGGGACTGCCTCTGAAGCGGGACCCCCGTATGGTTTTTCAGCTGTGAGAAGGCCGGCAGGACAAGGAGGGATACTCTCAGCTGCATTTCCCACGGATGTCTCCAAGGGGCAGGCGGCATATGCCAATGATTTTAATAAATTTTTTTTTTACGTAATATTATTACCGAACATAAATTAGGTTTTAATAGCAGTTTGATTACCCGGGGAGCTGCCGGGTGCGCGGGGACGGCCGCTCTGAGAGGAGCATGGCCGCCGAGGAAGCTCCGGATCCGCTCCACATCTAAACTTCCTTGTCAGCGACGGGACAGGGGGAGGGGGTGTCTTTCCCTCCCTCCTCCCCTTCCCCTGGGTGTAGGTAACCCTCATCTCACCCCAGGAGTGAGCAGGGCCCCGCGTAGCCTCATCTCCTCGCCTAACTCCCTCACACCGGCCGGAGACAGCTCTATTGATATTTGAACACACGGCACAAAGGCCGAAAAACCCAAAGCGGCGGCTGGCCCGGGGGGGTGTGAGGGCTGGGCCCGGCCGGGTGTGAGGAGCAGAGGCTCTCCCGGGCTGCACAAGCCGCCGCTGAGGGCAGCGCAGCCACCGCAGGGCGCTCGGAGCCCGGTCACAGCACTGCCGCTTCGCAGGGCGTATTTCGGTGGCTTGACAAGGCCGAACTTTTGCCACGATTTCCCTGCCGCTGTGACACTCTCCTTGTGTGTCCCGGTGCGGCGGGCTGTGCCCGGAGAGCCGCTGTCCAGCTGCCCTGCACGGGCGGCTCCGCCGGCCGGGCCCCGACGTCGCACTTGGAGCCAAACGCCGGGCCAGCATCCCGGGAAAGTCATCGGCCGGCTGCTCGCCGTCCCTCCCTGAACACATCTGACAACTCAAACCGCTCTCTGGGCTAAAATACAATAAAATAAATAAAATATAATATAATTAAAAAAGAGAGACAGGGAGAGAAGGAGAGGGAGAAAAAAACTCGAAGGGGAAATGTGAGCTCTCGGTCATCACAACTTTCTTCTCTCCCGGGCTGTACGGAGGCTGCCAAAAAGATGACAACACAGGAGGCAAGGACCATCTACGGCTCAAAGCAGCCGAGCTCAGAGCCTTGTCATTGCCCCTCCACCTCCGTCCCGAAACGCCCCTGTTTCTCAGCCTCTGGGGCAATGATGCCCCCAGCCAGACACGCACCGGGGAGAGAGGGGCGAGCCCGAGGAAGGCAGGAGCCGGAGGAAGATGTGCTCTCGCCGGGTAAATATCTTACTAAAGGAGATCTTGCCTTGAAAGTCATTTGGAGAATATGCATATCCTCCCTCACCCTTTTCTTTCAGCTCAGAAGCTTCACAAAGTTTTAGGGGCTTTTGTGGCCTTTTTTTTCTTTTTTCTTTTTTTCCCCCTTTTTTTCCCTTCTGGACGGGAGAGCCCAGCTGGAAGGAATCCTCCTCTTCCAGTAACCAGCGGAAGTTTTAAAAGCATTTGTTTTGCACTCGCCACTCAGCCCATCACATACCTTACAGCAGGTTTTAGAGAGCCTTTGGCGTAAAAAGGAAACAGCTCGTGCAGTTTCAACACGTTTTATTATATTTCTGTATGCATTACTCTCAAAACATATCACAAGAAATGATGAAACCACTTAAACCTTCAAATAAAAAATCTGAAACAGTTTATGCTCACAATTGTACATATTTATAGTTAAGAAACATTCTTTATAAATACTGTTTCCTCTGTAGCAAGTTAATACCATAATTTAATTACAAATGGATAAATATGGTAACAGGTATTTACAGGAGGAAGGGCGTTATTACGGAAAAGCTAACGGCACGACGTTTATTTTTCCTCACAATCTTCCGAACAGGAACTAACAAATTGAACTTGCAAAAGCACTAAAACATCACATGTAAACCCAGCTAACAGAAAAATACATTCACAAGCGTTGTTGTTCGTGTGTGTGTCTGTGAGTAACAGAATGGAGACTTTGGCACGGTATTTCTTCCCCAGTCTATAGTTGAAATGCAGTTTACAATCAAGTTGCTTCTTAAAAAGGAACACAATATTCAAGATATCACAATTACAAAAGAAACCAATTTTTTTTTCTTCCACGTTACTTTTTTTTTTAAAAGGGATGAACTAAAAAAGGAGGAGAGAAGGAAGTGGGGAGGGAGAGCGGGAGAAAAGAAAACAAGTCCATCACTTTCTCGGGAAGGGAGAAAGAGGGGGAAAAAAGAAAGATTAAAAAGAAAAAAAAAAGGAGAAGAAGAAGAAGAAGAAAGGGACCAATCCGCGGTTTACAAACGGGACGAACTTCTATACACCGACAATCCAGGAAAACCTCGTTCCCCACCTCGCCGGAGGAAGGAGAGGGCCGCTATATACACAGTTCGTGGGACGGGAGGGCGCTGGCTGCTCCGGGCGGGGAGGCGCGGGGACCAGAGGAGTTTGAGTCTCTGATCTTTTGTCTGAAGACTCCGGAGGGAGAGTTTCTTTCCGCCGGCTTGGGAAGCTTTTAGCTGGGTGATGTGTTGGTGAAGCATGGGGATGTTTTGCTCTCTCTCTCTCCTTTCCGTTCCGCCGTTGATTTACTCATTCTCTTATGTTTTTTTCAGCACGTAGTTTTTGGATTTTTTTTTGCTGGTTCAAAATGTTTTCAAAAAGAAAAAATCCAACCAGAAAAAAAGGGAAAAAAAATGAAAAAAAGACGCGAAGGCGGGAGGGTATGGGGAGATGAAGGCCCCCTGTCCCCATCCTGCTCGGCCGTCATTTCGCTGCCAGCGGGTGCGGCGGCATCTCCCGGCGCGTCTCCGGCGGGCTCGCTCGGTCCCTCCTGCCCGCCGCCACCGCCACCGCCGCCGCCGGGGCGGGGAGGGCGCGGCGGGGCCGTGCAGAGCAGTCCGGCGGGGCCCTACACGTACCACTCGTTGAAGTTGGAGGAAAGGCCGCTGTGGCCGCCGCCGCCGCCGCCGCTGCCGCCGCCGCCGCCGCCGCCCCGGTGCACGGCGGACACGGCCGCCGCCGCTGCCGCCGCCGCCGCCGCCGCCGCCGCAGGGGAGAGGTTGTTGGTGCTCTGCGACTCGGCGCTAGGGGACACCAGCCCCGGGGGGGTGGAGGACTCGTAGCCGGAGCTGGCGGCCGGGGAGGATTCGGAGCCTTGCGGGGACGACTCGTGCACCTGGGGGGCAAAGGCAACACGGCCGGGTGGAGGGGGGATGGCGAGGCCGCGGCCGCCCCCCGGGCGCGCCCCCCGCCGCCGGCCCGGCCCTCCGCCGCCCCCGGGCCCCGCGCCCGCCGCCCGCCGCCCCGTCGGGGCGCCCGGAGCGGGGCGGCCGCCCTCCCGCCTCCCGCCGCCGGCTGCGGGGCCGGGTACCTTCATGTGCTTCCGCAGGGAGCTGGGGTGCGTGTAGGACTTGTCGCACATCTTGCACAGGTAGGGCTTATCCGAGGTGTGGACGTGCATGTGCTTCTTGCGGTCGCTGCTGTTGGCGAAGCGCCGGTCGCAGCCTTCGAACTCGCACTGGAAGGGCTTCTCCCCTGCAAGAGAGCGGCGCAGCAGCGGGGTGAGCGCGGCCGCCCCCGCGCAAACCCCGCACAGCCCCGCGCCGAGTTTCCCCGCCCTCGCCCTCCTCTCCCGGTCGCTTCGTGCAGCAGCTTCCCAAAGGAAGGGCCGGGCGGCTGCGTCCCGGTACCCGCAGCGCCGGAGCGCCGCGTCGCTCACGCCTTGCCCTGAAGCGAGGCAACCCCCGTCCCCCAGCTGGTTTTCCTACCAAAACCCCGGGGATGTCCCCGTCCCGGCATCTCGCCTGATTTTATTTCGGCCGGTGCCGACACACATAGCCAGCCCCGAAAGAGATTGAAGAAGAAAGACGATTAAAAAAAAAAAAAAAAATGAAGCAAGCATCACCGAGCCGTTTCGCCTCGGTACCAAATCCGCTATCCTGTTAAACTGGAAACCATTACCGACAGATTTAAGGCCGGGTATATTGTTTCGTGTATGGATATTCGAGATAAACGCACATCCGCTGGGAAAACTAAACGTCTGTAAAATACTTCATTTAATTTTCATAGGGATTCCTCTCGCCCGACTGCCAGGACTCCAAATGCCGGGGAGTACTTTGGAGGTGAGAACTCCACATTCCCCCGCCTTTGGAGGGGAAGCATTTAACATTAGATTCCATTAGCACCTAAATTGTTTCTTAAAGACATCCGCTCAGATACAATGACTTCAGTGCGGGCATCTCATGCAAATACATTTCTCAAATTTTAAACCTTGTTAAAGCTCGTCTCGCACCTCGCATCGGGCTTAGCACTTGAGAAAACAATAGGCCTCGAGATTTTTAGCCTTTCTCCGGGTAAATATTTGGAGTGGAAGTCGCTAAAATATTTGGCCGTCTTTTATGAAATAGTCTGGCACGGTTTGAGCCGGCAGGAGTAGTAAATGAATAATAGATGAGGCGGGAGGATGCGTTTATTTTTGTTACCCTTCGGCTCAGGCGATTTTCCATCAGGAAAGCCCGAGCTCCCTCGACCCTCTTCCACCTGATTTGGGTGGAAGTTTCCGAACTTCAAATCCTCTGTTCCCTATTACATAATTTAATAAACTGTTGCAAAAACACCTTAAATCACATCGAGTGAGACTTTAAAAACAATTTTTTTTAAATGAGAAAATTTTATTGCCTTGCTCACACCATTTAAATTTAATGGAAAACATTCCCAGAAAGGGACTTTTTGCCACTTCTAACGGGATTTAGGACTAATGATTGATTTTGCACGTATTTATATAGTTTCTCTGAGTATCCATAAATAAAAGCCATGCTCACAAGCGCTGAAGTTGTATGCAAATACGTTGCACAGAGCAAATGACTAAGGCGTTTCAGATGGATGGATGGATGGATGGATGGACGGACGGATGTCTTCCCCTATTTTAGCAAGACGGCAAAATTTGGTTCGCGCTGTATTCCGCGTTTCTGCGGAAAGACTCCGCTGAAACTCAGCACAAATCTACAGCTCTCATTCCCAAATGAAAACAAATCAGTTAAACATCCTTTCGAAATCTGCAATGGAGGGGGGTGTATGCTGCTGGGGAAGAAACCAAAACAAACGCAGCCATGTGATGGAGAGGGTTAAAAAAAAAATAAGCTGGAGGCTTATTTTATCACCCTCCTAATTTAACATCACTCTGTCTGAGTATCTATCAGTTTACACATATATATATACACGCATATATAGGCACGGGCAGAGGGAGGAAATGTGGCGAAAGAAACCCGAATTACCTGTGTGCGTCCTTTTGTGAATTTTGAGATTTTCTGATCTGGCGAAAACTTTTCCGCAGCCAGGGAAGGGGCAGGGGAAAGGTTTCTCTCCCGTGTGCACTCGGATATGATTGACCAGTTTGTATTTCGCTTTGAAAGGTTTGCCTTCGCGGGGACACTCCTCCCAGTAGCAGACATGGTTGCTCTGCTCGGGTCCCCCAACGTGCTCCACCGAGACATGGGTGACCAACTCGTGCATGGTGCTGAAAGTTTTATTGCAACTTTTTTTGGGGTTGTTCAGCTGTTCGGGATCGATCCACTTGCAGATGAGCTCTTGCTTGATGCACTGCTGCCGCATGTAGCGGAAAAAGGCACCTGGGTGGTGGTGGTGGTGGGCTGCCATGTTCATGCCCATATTCATATTCATGGGGCCGTACTGGTTGTGCAGCTGAGCCGCCGAGTAAGGGTCAGTCCTGGGGCTGGAAACCTGGCGGTACTGATCCGACCGGGCGAATACCTCCCCCGGCAAGCCCAGTCGCATCTGCCCGTTGAGAACATTTTGGGAGGCGTGGGGACCGTGCTGGTCGTGGATGCCCGGGAAGAGGAGGTGGCTCTGAGCGTCCGTGTGCGGGTGGTGCAGGCTGCCGGCCGCAGGGCCGAAGATGCCGTGCTGCCCGCCGGCCGGCGACGAGTCCCCGAAGCCCCGGCTGCGAAACAAGAAGTCCCGGGTAGAATTGAAGGGCGTCCCGGAGTAGGAACCGACATGAGCGGCGTGGGGGCCCAGGGCGGCGGCAGGGTAACCGGGCGCCTGCGAGGTGAACGCCGAGCTCTGCCCGGGGGAGAGGTCGTGGGCGCCGGCGTTGAGCTTGAAGGCGCCCATGTGCGCCGCCGCCGAGTCCACGAAGCTGTTCTGCGCCGCCAGGCTCAGCTCCCGGTCCTGCATCTCCGCCGCGGCCGAGTGGTGGTGCCGGGCGAAGGTGCCCACTCCGAGGGCCGGGAACTGCGGGCCGGCGTCCAGCAGCATGGTCCGCGCCGCTCCGGGGACGCAGCCGCTGCCGCCGCTGCCGCCTCCCCGCTACAGCCTCCGCCTCCGGGCTGCCGCCGCCCGCCCGCCCGGGCGCGGGGCCGCCGCCGCTCCGCTCCGCTTCCCCCCGGCAGCCGCCGCGTCCCCCCGCCGCCGCCGCCGCCGCCCGCGCCCGCTCCGGCCCGATGCCGCCGCAGCCGCCGCCGGCGGAGTCGTATCCGGAGCCAGGCAGAGCAGAGTCCAAAGGCGAGCGGAGAACCAAAGTGTATTAAAGGAGCTGAGGCGGGGGCGGGCAGGGGAGGGGAGGGGGAGCAGGGGAGGGACGGGGCTGGGGACGGGGGGGGAAGGCTCGCCTCGCCGTTCCCTGCGGCACACACGCACGCACACACACACACACTCACACACACAGACCCGCGCACACGCCGCCGCCGCCCCCCCCGCTTCCTCCGCCGCCACCGGGATGTCAGCGCCGCCGACCCCCGCCCGCCCGGCCCCGCGCCGCTCCCCGCGTGGGCCGCGGCCCTCCCCGCCGCCCCGAGCCCCCCGCCGCTCCCGGGCCTCCGCTTCTCGTTTTATCCTCCGCCGGGCATTAGCGGTGTCTCTCACGGAGAAAAACTTGCAGCCGCGGGTTCCCACGGAGCGAAGGGACCCGGGGGGTGCCCCGCGCCGCGCAGCCCCCCGCCCGCCGCGGCGGAGGGGCGTGAGGAGGGGGGCAAGGAGGGGGGTGCCGGAGGCGGATTAAAAACAATAAGGGCGGCGGTGGGGGTGGGGAGGGGAGGCGGGGGGCGGGAAGGGGCCGGGGAGTGCCGGAGCGCCGCGGCGGCGGAGTTGCAGCCCCGCTCCGCCCGGGCCCTCGCTGCCTTTCGCTCTTCTGTTTATTTCGGTGGGCGCTGCTGAGGCGGCGGCTTTTTATTCCACCCCCCCCCCCCCCCCCCCGTTTTTCTTCCCTCCCTCCCCCCGGCCTCTCTCCTTCTCCCCGCCCGCACTGGCGGCTCCTCTCCCAACGCCGCCTTCACCCGCCGCCCGGCCGCTCTCCCGGCTCCCGCTCATTGGCCCGAGCCGCCCCGTCCATCCGGGCGCCCCCGGCCACCGGCTAATGGCGGAGCGGCCGCCCCGAGCCCTGCCCGCCCCACCGCCCGCCCCGCGCCCCGCCGCGCCACCGCCGATCGCCCCGCGGCCGCCCGGCCCCCGCCCGGCCCCGCACCGCACGGGCCCGCTCCGCGCCGGTGGCCGCCGTCAGCCCCGCACTGCCGGTGGCTTCTTGATTTTTGGGGGAGTCACCCCCCCCCCCCCCCCGCCCGTCTCCCCCGCGGCGAGGGGAAGGGGTGGCGCGGGGAGAGGCGCGCCGATCTCGGAAAATATCGATGTACGCTTTGGCATGTGATCCTGCCTCGGGAGGCAAACAAACAAAGCGAGGGGCTTAAAATATAACCCCCGCAGCCCCTTTCCTCATTTCGGCTAAAGCAGATGAAGCCCGTGATCGATAAAGGGAGCGAGGGGGGAATCAAATAAAAGTCACGTTGACGGGGCGAGGGTGGCTGCGACTAAAAACCCAAATCAAATAAAAATTAAAATATAAGACGGAACCGTCGCCCTGGCTGTTTGGGCTTTTAAACCACTTATGTAGGAGCAGAGAAGTCGATCAGCGATCTGCATGTGTTGTGAATGTGTATCTGAGAGCAGATGCTTTAGGAGTTTTCCTTGTCTTTTCTCTTTCTTGAAAAAAAAAAACAAAAACAAACCTGAAAAAAAAATTCCTACCCAAAACCCCACCCTGCCATTGTTATTTGGAAACCGGATTCTTACATGGCAGGAATAAAAAGCATAAAGCCGGCACACACACACGCACACACACACACACACACAGAGCAAACAAGTCCCCTTCCCCTCCCCCTCCAGTAAATACACGTCTGGCCCCTGATTCGGTTTGTTTTGTAGTGGCTGAAAAATAATCATCTCGAGGCCAGCAGCTCACCCAATAAATAAGGCTTTGTAAAAATCAAAGCCTGGCATAACATTTGCTGTCTTAACCACCCTGCATAAAACCTTGCGTCTCCGTACCCATCAGTTCTCTGCTTGGTGGAGAAGCAACCCAAAATATAAGGGTTTGTGTGGTTCGGGGGGTCTTTTTGAAATTCTCCCTTCGACATTCCTCCTATGACCCCTCATGGCATTAAATCCCACATCAGACACAGGCAGGCTCAAACCTGGACCCACAGCGTCCAATCGTGAGCTTTACAAGGAGAGATGATGGATGGATGGATGGATGGATGGATGGATGGATGGATGGATGGATGGATGGATGGATGGATGGATGGATAACAGGAAGGAAGGAAGGCAGGCAAAGGTAACAAATAAGGTCTTTCCCATCATTGCCTACCAAATAAGGTCCTTCCCATCATTGTCACTAAATGGTTAAAATATTTCCAAGACTGTCCGAAAGTGTTTGAAATGTGCCGGTACCGGACATTAGTCTTTGGACAAGGCGGATTTAAATAGGGAAGAAGTGGGATTCCTTCTAATCGGAAATGAGCAATAGGAGATAAACCGAATATTAATGCAGAACTGCACCTCTGATGCCAACAGCCTTTTTCTCTTTGCTCGCTGTCATTCTGTCCTGCCTTTGCAGGCAGGAGTGTCTGCTCCCCAGATCTTGCCTTTCCAGGCTGTAGCTTGGGAGCATATGCTGTCCTTGTCCTGACCCCCCAGGCTCCCAGGAACAGACCGCGAACAAATTCTATTTTCCTTCCCTGAAAAGATTTCGAGGCGGAGGTCTGAGTGGAGTCCTCCACCGTTGCTGGGGATTTCGAGAGCCCAAGCTGAAGAGGAAAGCTTGGTCTCCTGCATCGCCTGCCTCCAGATTAGTGATAAAAATCACACAGAAAACTAGACGTTCGCATACACTTCCCCCCTGCCCCGATTTAAAAGAAATTACTACATCTGAGATTAGAAAAAGAATAAATATGTGCAAGAAAATTGGCAGTTCAGAATAGTTTTGGAAAAAAAAATAATAGCAAAGGTGAGTATCCATACAAATATCTACCTTCTCGGTTTTCTCTTTCTTTTCTTTTCTTTTCTTTTCTTTTCTTTTCTTTTCTTTTCTTTTCTTTTCTTTTCTTTTCTTTTCTTTTCTTTTCTTTTCTTTTCTTTTCTTTTCTTTTCTTTTCTTTTCTTTTCTTTTCTTTTCTTTTCTTTTCTTTTCTTTTCTTTTCTTTTCTTTTCTTTTCTTTTCTTTTCTTTTCTTTTCTTTTCTTTTCTTTTCTTTCTTTCTCTTTCTTTCTCTCTTTCTCTCTTTCTCTCTTTCTTTCTCTCTCTTTCTCACTCTTTCTTTCTCCTTTTCTCTCTCTTCTTCTCTTTTCCTTCCTTCCTTCCTTCCTTCCTTCCTTCCTTCCTTCCTTCCTTCCTTCCTTCCTTCCTTCCTTCCTTCCTTCCTTCCTTCCTTCCTTCCTTCCTTCCTTCCTTCCTTCCTTCCTTCCTTCCTTCCTTCCTTCCTTCCTTCCTTCCTTCCTTCCTTCCTTCCTTCCTTCCTTCCTTCCTTCCTTCCTTCCTTCCTTCCTTCCTTCCTTCCTTCCTTCCTTCCTTCCTTCCTTCCTTCCTTCCTTCCTTCCTTCCTTCCTTCCTTCCTTCCTTCCTTCCTTCCTTCCTTCCTTCCTTCCTTCCTTCCTTCCTTCCTTTCCTCCCTTCCTTCCCCTCCTTCCTTCCTTCCTTTCCTCCCTTCCTTCCCCTCCTTCCCTTCCTTCCCTTTCTTCCCTTTCTTCCCTTTCTTCCCTTTCTTCCCTTTCTTCCTTGCCTTTCTTTCTTTTCCTTTTTCAGTTATTAATTTCTTCACTTCCTTTATAATTTTGTCTCCTTTTTCTTTCTTCTCCTGACCTTATTTTTCTGCATTTCCTGCCTTCCCCCCCTCGCCCCTCACTCTGCCTGATCAGCGGTGCCGGCATCGGGGCGCTTTCGGGGGGACGCAGTGAATTCCATCCGGAGCCCCCGCTGGCTGGCCGCTCTCTGCTATTCTTTCAGGGCTCCAGCCCTACTCTCTCTGCAGGAAACAGAGGAGCTGATCCAAGTTCAAAGTCACGTCGCCGTCCCTCCTAAGAAGTGCTTTATTTGCCTCTGAACCGCAAAACCCCTTTCCCCCATGTCACAGGGTAACAAGGGAAGGGAGCGAGGGAGGAAGGGAAGAAGGGAGGGGGGCAGAGGCACCGGCGGCCAGCCCCGCACTCCCTTGTCGGGCCACCGCCACGAACACAGCCTGCGGCTCATGGCAGCTTTCGGGGAGGAAAGCAAGCAGTCACCCCAAGTCGGTGGTAAACTGTTTTATTGAAAGAAGTTTTTCAACAGGTTTCTGGAGGTGCCAGACCTACAGAGCAAACGTCAGCTTCCCCGGGAAAGCTTTCCAGTCTCTGTAAGTTTTCCGAAATTCTCTTTAAAACTGCTCTTGTCTTGTTCTTACGGGCTGGTGATGCCAAGGGAGCTGGAGAGGGGTGTGGAGGGGGGGGGAGGCGGGACGAGGGGAGAGCAATTTCTTGTTTCCCCTGATCTGTATACATCGCCTTCTCCTTCTGACCCTTTTCCCGAGAGGTGTCACCGCCCTCTGGGGAGGCTCCGCGCCCCCTTTCTCCATCCCCCCCTCCCTGGCAGCCGTGGGTGCCGCAGTGGGGGCGCAGGCTGCGGTGGGGCCGGGGGCTCTGCCCACGGGAGGATGCGGCTGGCGACGGCCTCGTCGGGAAAAAGAGGCGGAAGGACTCACCGGAGACGGGTGTGTGTGCATGTGAGAGAGAGAGGGAAAGGGGCAAGAGGGTGTCCCTTCCCCCAGAATTCAGCCTTCCAACGCAGTAAGGGACGAGGTGCGGGGCGAGGAGGGGGAGTGTGGCCGGCCCGTAGCCTGGTGAAAAGAGGCCAGTTGAGCAGCATCACTTGCACCGTTGTCTGTATCACAGACACTCATAAATTCAACAAGCTCATCAACAGGATATTAAGTTGCAGGTTACCTTTGATGGTGCCGATCCGAGCCACTTCTAGGCCGTTCGACCTATGACCCGTGAAGACCACATGTGTTGTCCTCTAGCCTCCCTCTGTAAAACACACACTTCGAGACAAAAGTTCTTTGTCAGGCTCTACCGACAGTGTAATGTAAAAGAAGTAGGGGAAATAATGAAAATCTCAGCCAAAGCTGTAACTTTTAAACGCTGAAAGAAAGAAAGAAAGAAAGAAAGAAAGAAAGAAAGAAAGAAAGAAAGAAAGAAAGAAAGAAAGAAAGAAAAGGGAAAAATACACTAGGCAGGGACAGAAGGAAGAAGTACCCCGCTTTCGTGCCATTAATATTTATTGTTCCTTCAGTTGCACTTATATATATATATATATATATATATATGTATGTATAAAACCCCGCTCTCGGCGGCAATGCCGTGAGACGGCGGGGGCCAGGAGCAGTGTAGCACTTTTTTCCAGGACGGGAACCTCGGCCGAGCGGCAGCCGGTGCCTCTGCCCTGCCCAGCTGCGGCTGAGGGACGCGCAGCGCTGCGTATTTTGCGCGCCCTGCCCCACTGCGCCGCTCATCCTGCGGGCAGCACAGACCCGGCACAACGCCCCCCGAAATGGGTCTGCCGCAGCACTGCCCGCCTTTATTAGATGCACCTTTTTCCATCTGGAGATGCCCATATAAACGTTAGAGGCAGGGGAGAAGCGTCCCAATAAAGCGCGATGGACTTTGTAATACAATTTATGCTGTCATTCATAAATAACAATGCCATATGGTAACCATATTGCTTATACAAGTAAAGCCGTCAAAGTGTCACTATTTGATTTATCTCAACAGCTTCTTCCAACGGTGACGTTCAGAGAGAGGGGAAGTGGGAAAGAGAGAGAGAGAGAGCAGAGCAAAATTTGGCCTGGGTTTCCTGAGACCGCCTCTCTCTTTATCTCTTTCTTTCTTTCTATATATGGGTAGATAGATAGATAGATAGATAGATAGATAGATAGATAGATAGATAGATAGATATAGAAGGATTTTTTTCCTTATTTTATCCCTAACTGAGCAAACCCCAAAGGGGATGGCCCCTCTTTCCCTGGCGATGTGCGCTCTGAACACGACAGCTCCGAAACTTATGCTCCTAAATCCCTGTCCCAGAGGTGCGGCGGGTCTCGGCCCCGACAGCCACTAGCCCCGGATCCTCGTGTCAACCTCAGGTTCCCGCCTGGACGCACGAAGCGACGATATTTGGCACAAGAGAAATTTAATTTTCAAGAGTGTAAGTTATCCATCCGCTGAGCCCCTCCATAGGGAAGGGGTGGGGAGTCTCACTGCCATATCGACACTCTTTCGTGCCTCTGGGCAGCCTCCCGCTCTCGGCCGAGGTCCCGGCGCCTCCGTGCAATCCCCCTGACGGGACAGTGGGCAGGGTGCCGTGGGTCCGTCCTGCCCGTGCGGGTCCCCACGGGGCTGTGCCTCGGGGCGCTCCCTCCCGCTGCGGGCGGACTTCACCTCCGATGGCGCACGTTCGGGCAGGGCACGGCGCCACAGGCTCCCCCCCGCCGCAGAGCAGCCCCACGGGCGTGGAATGCCACCCGCGACGGCCCGGGAGGAGGGTAGGCTTTCCTAGCGTATCTGGGGAGTCTTGCAGCTCTTCCCGGGGAAAGCGCCAATCGCGCTCCCTTTCTAATGGTTCCCCAGAAGAATGTTTTACACCTTATAAAATATTGCTCCCCGCTCCCTAACTATCAATAAGACGTGCATTAAAGACGATTGTTTGTAAATGGTGTTCATGATCATTAGCATACATTTACATAATGCAGCTCACAGCACAGCGTTTTACGGTTAAACACCTCCTAAAGCCGATAGCCCGAGCTCAGTTTATAGAGGAAGCTTTGCGAAATAAATGTGAAGGCTTCCAGGCTTTCACCCCGCCTCTGCAGCCTCCCCCGATGTCCCTTGGCAGGTTTGCCGGCGAGCGGAGCCCTGCGGGAGGGCTCTGCAGCCGGCTCCGCCGCGGGAGCGGGGCGCGTTCCGACCCCCGACGGGCGCTCTCGGGTTGTGGGGGGCTGTGGGGCAGCACAGCACGCCTCCCCTCTGCTGCAGCCCGGGGGCAGCGGCAGTCTGGGCCTGAGCTGGTGTCGGTGAGTTAATGGGCTTTAAATTCTTCATGGCTCTTTTGGAGCTGGCAGCGTCCAAAATTGTCCCTGCGCGGGCAGCCACCTTCTCTGCCCGGCGTTTGCAGCCAGTCCTAAAAATGAGCGAATTTCCACGTGAGTCTCCATCAACCCCTCCCTTCCCTCAGTCACAGGTCAGCTGCCTATTAGCCAGCTATAAAATAATTCCATTTTTTTATGGCCTCTCATAAAAAGAAATTGATCGGGGTATATATTTGAATTAAGACATATTAAATCGATGACAGATACACATCACCTGCGTTTAACAGCAGAGGGACAGGGAGGCGTGCAGAAGGTTCCACGGAGCTGTGATACTTGTTCATCTCCACAGCATCTCCCACCAAACCATTCCATCTCTGGACCTTGCTCCAGCAAGGCACCCAGAATTTGGGGAGGAAGGAGGGCACTATATGGATGGACGTGTGAAAAATACATGTATATAAATACCCGTACAGACGTATGGCTACTTTGCGTGAAGTTTTTACTGTGCAATAAAACCATCGAGCAGCCGCTTTTAAAACCGGGGGATCGTTTATTTCCATTCCTTGCCTTGCAGCATCACTGAAACCCCCACGGCGGCCACACGAGCCGGGAGCATTGGCTCGTCTCCGGTGGGGGGGAGAAGGGAGGGAACCGGCGGGTCTCTCTCCCCCTTGAGCTCCCCCTAGAGCCTCTCGCCCCCCTTTTGGCAGCCGTGGGCCAAATCCTGCGAGTTTTCCCCCCGCGAGAGGCAGAGGAGGGGGAGCCTGGAGCCTGGCCCAGGAAATGCCGGACCAGCACGGGGCTTCCTTTGAACGTGGCTTGGCACAGGGAAGCGGCCAAGACGCACAGATGTAGTTTCGTTAAGGGGATTCGGTGGCCGGGGAGAGCCGGAGGTGCGTGTGGGTCGGCTAGCGTCCCCTGCCCCGTTTCCTCTCCTGGAGAGGCGGAGGAGAGTCCCTGGCTGCCCCGCAGGCAGGGAAGGGCAGGCAGCTTGCCTGCACTTTCCAGGAGCCCGGGAGCTCAAGGCATTCCTAGGGGCACCAACAGCCTAAAGAAAGCAGATGACATATCAGTAAAAGCTACTTCTCCTCCCACAGAAAAGTCACGACAATGCTCCTTTCCCCTTTTGGCTCGCAGGGAAATCCCGGCCTTGCCTAGTCAACCCCCTCAAAGGGCAGCATCCTTTGTACCGAAGGGCCAGTTTCGGCGCTCCACAAAGAGCTTCGCTTTCGAGGACCAGTACACCCCGCACCCCAGGGGCGGTCCCATCGCTGTCCCCGCCCGTCCTCTACCTCTGCCCCCTTTCAGGAGAGCTCCCACTTTTCCTGCCTTTTCGTCTGGGGCAGCAGCTCAGGGCCGACACAAGCCAGCCGGAGACTCCCCCGTTTCCCACCCTACCGTTCCGACATCCGAAAGAGTCGAGGAGCATTTATGCTCGGGGCCAGTAGCGCTGCGGGGGTTTCATCTCTATTTCGCCGCTGCTGAATGAGGGCTGGAGGGGATGCAGCTGCCTGGGCTACGGCTGTGGGACCGCCGAGGGGCGTGGGGTGGTTCTCCCCACGGGATGCCCCGGGAAGCCGCTGCGGGAGGAGGGAGCCCCAAAGCGGCAGCGAGAGCCAAAACTTGGCTCTAACATGTGCCACTTGCCCCCCTCCTCCTCCCCTCCCCGCTCACTCGTTTATTTTCTAAAGGAAAGGAATCCCAACCCCCGCCGTCTTCTTTTCAGGGAAACTTTGGCCGCCTTCTCCTAGCGGTGCCTTGGGCATGAGTACACACAGGCTCGGCCTCGCGTGGGCGTGGGGTTGCGCACATTGTTGCAGGAGGGAGCGCTTTCCCGCCTCATCCATGAATGAACGTGGCCCTCCAAAAAAATTAAAAAAGATAAGGAAGCTGAGCACAGAGCCGGGCAGCAGCCGCGCCGCCAGGCGAGGAGAGAAACCCCACGGCCCCGCAAACGTAAACACGGCGGAGCACCTGAGCAGGGCGCCCCGTCCGGTGCCTGGGGAGCAGAGGCAGCTGCTGCTGCCCGGTGCTGCCGGCGGGGGGCGGCGGGGGAGGTGCCGGGTGCGCCCCGTCGGGCCCCGCGCGAAGTTTTGCGAGTGCAACTTCGGGGGGCGGCGCGGGGGGGCCCGGGGGGGCGGCGGGGGCGGATCCCCGCTGCGCCGGCGGCCTGAAAGGGAGCCAATCGCGGGGCCCCGGCCGCTGCCAATCATCGCCATCCGTCCAATCCCTCCGGCGCGGTGTCCGAGCCGTATTCCCCAGCGCGCCGCCGAAGTGTGGTGAGGGCTCTGCCAATCGCGGGCGGGCAGAGCGGGGCCAGGGATGCGCGGGGCTCGGAGCGCAGACAAAAGAAGTTAAAGAGCCGCTTAATATATACATGTTTTTGAAGGCGGGTAAAGGGAAAAAAATAACAACAGCGAGCGTAGATGGGCTTGGCTGTGTCGTTATGGAGCCCCCTTTGAGCAAGAGGAACCCGACACTGAGATTAGCGGATTTGGCAGCGGCTCAGCCCCATCCTCACCAGAACATGACAGGCTTCCCGGGGCTGGGGAACCACCACGTCCACCCCCACCACGCGGCCCACCTCCACCCCGGGGACGCGGGCGGCGACCCCGGCGGCGCCCTCACGCCGCTCGGACCCGAGCACATGGCGCAGCCCGCCGCCCTCAAGCTCACGCCCGAGGCGCTCACCGCCGCCGCCTTCGCCGCGCCCCGCCGCCACCACCACCACCGCCGCCGCCTCCGCCACCGCCGCCGCCGCCACCACCGCCGCCGCCTACGCGCCGCCCGCCGCCGCCCTCCCGGGATACCCGTCGGGGGAGGCGGCGGGCCGGGACTTTCTCCTGCGGCGGGAGCTGCCCGCCGCCGCCGCCGTGCACGGGGCGCTGGGCGAGCAGCACCCGCCCGCCGGCTCCCCCCACCTTCCGCACCCGCCACCGCACGGCGTCTTCATCTCGGCCGCCGGCACCTACGGCGCGACCGACGGGGCGCACGCCTCCTTCCCGCCGCCGCCGCCCGGCGAGCAGGGCGCGCCCGCCGGCCGCCACCCGCCGCTCAACGGGCAGATGCGTCTGGGGCTGGCGGCCGCCGCCGCCGGGGAGCTCTACGGGCGCGCCGAGGCGCACTACGGGGCCGCCGCCGCCTCCTCTTCCTCCTCGGCGCTGCAAGGCTACGGCTCCGTCAACCTCAACTTGGCGGCGGCCGGGCACGGGCACCCGCACCACCCCCATCCCCACCACCACCACCATCACCACCACCACCACCATGCCCACGTCGGGGCCGCGGCGGCGGCGGCGGCGGCCGGGGCCTTCCTGCGATACATGCGACAGCCCATCAAGCAAGAGCTGATCTGCAAGTGGATCGACCGGGAGCCGCCTCCTCCACCTCCACCGCCGCCACCGGGCGCTAGGAAGCCTTGCTCCAAAACTTTCAGCACGATGCAGGAGCTGGTGAGCCATGTCACCGTGGAGCACGTCGGTGGGCCCGAGCAGAGCAGCCACGTGTGCTACTGGGAGGAGTGTCCCCGTGAAGGCAAGCCCTTCAAAGCGAAATACAAACTCATCAACCACATCCGAGTACACACGGGAGAGAAGCCCTTCCCTTGCCCCTTCCCCGGCTGCGGGAAGGTCTTCGCTCGCTCTGAAAACCTCAAGATCCACAAGCGGACTCATACAGGTGGGTTGTTCTTCCCACCCCACCCCCCCTCCCCGCAAGGGTTTCCTTCCTTTATTTTTTTTTCTCCCCTTTCCTCCTCTTTTCCTCCTCTCCTACGCACCGCCGAACATGTGACTTTTTCATGAATAAGTAATTCGGCAGCACACGGGCCACGCACACACAGCTACGTACACGCACCCGGCCCCTCTGCCCTGCACACACGTGTCGCGTCCCCCCCCTCCAGCCCCCCCTTCACCTTGGGCAGCTCCCTCCCCACCCCCACCCCCTCCGCTACCCACCTCCCGCACCCCGGCAGCACCGGATAAATACACCGATTAATAAATAACGCGGAGCCGGGAGAAGATGAGCAGCAGCCCCTGCGGAAGAGCGAGGAGAGGATGAGCGCTCGCCCTTCCTTGCTCCCGCCGCCCTTGTCCGGGGCACGCCGGGGCGCTCACCCCGCATCTGGGAGGCGCTGCGCTTTGCCCCGTCCCCCCGCCACGCCGGAGGACGGCGGTTCTGCCCTTCCTGCCGCTTCTGTCGGCGGGGACGGAGCCGGGCGGGTGACGCTTGGCCCGACGGAGATGGGGCCGCGGGGGCTCTTGGGGGCGCAGTTCCCCTGCGCTGCGGGCGGCGGTGGCGGGGCTCGGGGCTGCCGGTGCTACCGGCACGACCGGACTGGCCCTGTGACCAGCGCTCCTGGGGCTCCCCCGCTCCGGGACTGTCCCTGCTAGCGGGACCAGCGATGCTGCCGGCCGTGCCCCCCGGCCTGGGCTACCGATGTTGCGGAACTACGGGGGATGCTGAGGGCACTGCCCTGCCGGGGCTGCCCCTGCCGCCGGGCTACCGGAGAGACGCCGGTCCCGAGGCTCCGGGTGCTGCCTGGGCTGCTGCCGCCTGCGGCAGTGCCCGCGGAATCGGGAAGCAGGGAGCGAGGCGGGGGAAGGCTCCCACCGGAGGACGCTTCCCTCCCTTTGTGGATCTGAGAAGCAAACTTCAAAGTCGCCCCGACTGCTCGGCGGGGTACGGGAGGAGGGAGCGGCACCCCCGGAGAATGCCTCGGGGGACAGGCGGGGGCCCCTAGAAGGGTTTGGGGTGTCTTTGATCCTTGTAGAGTTTTATTTTTCTGGGTTTAGTTTTGGTGGGTTTTTTTTTTTTGTTTGTTTGGTTTGGGTTTCACCCCCCCCCCCCCCCCCCCCACTTTCTCCTCATTCCTCGCCACTCCCGAAATACGCATTTCCATCTGGGTGTAAAATACTGCCGAAAACGAACGAAGCCGGGATTTATAGTGGCAGACAAATATTATTCCTTGGAGGATACTTAAGGAAGTGGAGTTGCCGTAATTGCTTTCTTGATTTATTGTTTGCTGCTCGGGAAGAGAAAAGCGGCGACCGTACAACGTGTTGTTCCGATGTAAAACCAAATGGCCCATGGCTGAAAGGATTATAGATTTTTATCTCCAGAATATGTCAGGCACGAGCCCATGTGTAGCAGCGGAGCCCTGAGGGTGCCTAGCGCTCTACACCCCGAGCCGGGGATGGTGTGTGGGGGGAGATTTCTCCGGGGGAGAGGAGGGGGTAAGGTCTGACACTTTTTGTTTTTGTGTTAACGACACCGCGGAATGAGTTAGCTGGAGGCCCGCGGTTTTGTCATCTATTCGAAAAACTAAAGTTCACCGCGGACTTTTCTGGGCTCCTCAACTCCTTACCCATCTCAGCTCCAAGGGGCAGGCGGGAGGGAGGTGGGAAGAAGTCCGAGAGAGGCTTGCGTGGAGGCAGAGAAATTCAGCCGGGAAAAAGAGCCCCCCACCAAAACCCGAATGCGTATCAGGCACAGTTCGCAGCTCTTAGATGAGGTCGAGCATTGCTCCGAGGCAATGCGTGGGACGTGGCTTCTTGCAATGAAAATTTGGAGAAGTTTTCAGCTTGGGGCTGCCCGTAGTACCCGGGAGGATGTCTGTGCGTGAGCCCACGAAGAAAGGCTCTATCCACGCAGAAGGGGTCGTTGCACCAAAGCAGCCCTCGGGGTGGGGTGCAATATCCCACCTCGAATGACAGCTCTGCCCATGGGAGGGCAAAGGCGACAGGAGCCTTTCCCTATGTATTTCTCTCCACGCCTTCGAGTGGACAAGGGATCCTACACTTTCTGCCCGTTCCTATCAGATAAATTAGCGTCATTTTGCCACTTCGGCTTTAACTTAGGCATGTGCAGCCTGGGAGCAGGAGAGATTTACAAACTATTCATATATTATGGGTATTTGGCATGCCCGGGGTGGGGGGAAATAATAACTCCATAATCGTATCATTAGGCGATTTTGCATGTTTCTGGTAATTCTTGAGGAAGAAGAATATTTCAGTAATTCAGGAAGTGTTTGTTGTTTGGGACCTTTTTCTCCCTTTTTGGTTTTGTTTTCTTTTTCTTTTTCCTTTTTTCTCAGAAGCATCCACCGGGGAGCTGCATGGCAACTCTGCAGCTACTGCCCTGTTTTGGGGACAAATCGCTGTTCCCAAACCCGGTGCACTCCAGGGGGAATCGGGACCTAGTCCCTTCTGCAATTTTGCTTTCCCCTTGCCAAGGACAATGCTCAGAATGGTCAGGCTTCCTTCCAGCGATTCCTAGACCTTCCAAAAAAGTGATCCCAAGCCCCATCTGTGCCTCTCCCCTCCACCCGCACTGCTACTGCCAGGAGGAGTGAGGGGATGGCACCCGGCATCTCGCCCGTGGGTTGAAACCACCTACAAATGGTTAAACTCTGACGTGGTGCCCTCGTCAGCGCAACGGGGACACACCGGGACCTTCGCCAGTCCTGGACTTATGGGGAATTTGATCGTCGTGATCTGGAGTCTGGGGAGGCTGCCCACACGTGAACCCGAGTGGAAAGGCACTTCCCTAAAACCCTGAGGGAGTGGACACAGTTTGGTCCAGCTGGTTGGAGCATTTCTCAGGGGGCTTTGGGCTCTGCCGGTCACGGCCAGCAGCAGGATGTGTGAGCCTTCAGCCTTGGGGTAACACAGTTAGAAACTGCCCAAAACCTCCAGGAGATTTTTCTTTGTTTTCCCAGAAAAATTAATAGTAATTATTGAACAAACGAAGTGACTGGAAGCTTGTCTCAGGGGTGTGCGAGGTTTTCATGCACTTAAAACCCACGAGGCACAATTTAAATTTTTTTCTCCTTTTTTTTTTTCTAAGATAAACCTTGCACTTTCTAGCGCTACCACATTGGTGGTAGGTGAGCCGATTGAAATTGAACAAATTGATGCATAAATAAGCTGTGGAGGTGTATGTTTCTATAGTAACAACCAAGAAATTGCTTCTAAAAATAAAAATAGTTTTCTTAGTTTCATTATTATTTTACTAAATAATAAACGTGATACGATCTTACAAAGGGGAGGAGCAGTAAAAATCGCTTGCTAGTAAGGAGAAAACGTCCACCGAGAGAGCTGCTGGGTTGTTATTTCTGAGCCCTCAGAGCAAATCCCATCTGAAAATACACATCAGCCACGTCTAAAGGGACTCAAGAGTAGCGATAGTAATGACAAAGATTATCAGTGCAGGTCTGTCTGTGCTGAACTCCCGTGTAGCACGGCAGAGTGAGAAAAACTCGCTGTAAGAAGTTTCTGTACAGGGATCTGCCACTTTTTTCTTTTTCCTCTGGTGTATCAGCAAGAGGCATTTACCCAGCCCCATTCGGGATGTATGAGGAAGGGTCTGCTCGGGAGCTATGGGGAAGGACATGTCTATAAGTAGCAGAACATATGTGTTCCAGGGTGTGCTACAGGAGACGAGTGTGTGTGAGAAAGCTACGCCGGGCTAACCGCCCCGGGCTGATTTTCACAACCCCTTTAACTGTTAAGCAATGTGTAAAAACTCTTCAAAGTAGATCATCCGCATACGTTTAGACCCAAATTTGCCCAGGGTGAGCAGCTACGCTGCCCTTATCACCGATGTCTGGGTTGGTTCCCCCAACTTGCAGGTTCCCAGTCCGGGCTGAGGGATGCTCCCTCCTTTGTGTCGGGATTCTTAAACAGGTGTTACTTTTATTTTCCCCAAACTAATTATTCCTCCAGCGCAGTGCCCATTGGGAAAGGATTACGCAGGAGATGTGCCAGGCGAGCCAGGCTGCCGGCAAACGCCAGCCCTCGCAGGCAAAGGCATTGAGAGGTTTTGTTTGGGCTCGGTCATTAGAGCGGTAATGAAGGATTCTCGTGTGCGAGGGGAGCGCCGCAGAGGGCAAACAAGGCCGGGGGGGCCCTGCCGCCGCCAGCCCGGGACTCGGGGCCTGAGGGCTGCCAGCGACGTGTGACAGGCAGCAAAACACGGGGGGAAAGTCGGAAACCTCGGGCATGTCACGACTGTCGCGAAGGGGGAGGAAAGAAGGGCAAGGGGAGGAAAAGGAGGGAAGGGGGATGTTTACCCTCGCCGCTCGCCCCGCAGGCCGCGCTGCGGAGGGGCTGCGGGCAGGGCCGGTGACGGTGCCGTGTGTCCCCTGTGTCCCCGCAGGGGAGAAGCCCTTCAAGTGCGAGTTCGACGGCTGCGAGAGGAAGTTCGCCAACAGCAGCGACCGCAAGAAGCATTCCCACGTCCACACCTCGGACAAGCCCTACTACTGCAAGATCCGCGGCTGCGACAAGTCCTACACGCATCCCAGCTCCCTGCGGAAGCACATGAAGATCCACTGCAAGTCCCCGCCGCCCTCCCCGCCGCCGGGCTCCCAGAGCTACGCGGCGGCGGGGCCCCCCGACGGCCCGCTGCCCCCCGAGGCAGACCCGGCCGCCGAGCCGCCCCGCGGCCGCCGGGCCGCGCTCTCCCCGCCGGTCACCGACCTCAGCGAGTGGTACGTCTGCCAGGCCGGGGGCGCTCCCCGCCGGCCCCGCACCCCCTCCAGCCGCGGCACCTCCCCGGCATCCGAGGAGGATGAGCCCCACAGGACCTCGGGAGGCAGAACTGCTCCCTAGGGCCGGTGCCGAGCCGTGCCAAGCTGCCGGCGGCCCCAGCCCCACCGCACTGGCCCGGGCCGCAGAGGCAGCCACCTGGCACGGGGGGCTGCCGTGGAAGTGCCATCAGGTTTGACTCGCGCTATTTATTCCATGTACGAAACCCTATGGTGTTTGTATGGTAACTAATTTAATTAAAGAGACTCGGACCTTTTTTTTTTTTTTTTTTTTTTTTTGGTAAATAAAAGCATTAATAACGCCAGGCTGGGCCATCCCAGTCACCCGAGCCACACAATTTTGCAGGGGGACGGTGTCAATGGAGATGCCCATCTTCCACTCTGCCCATGCCCATTGCTCTTAACAAAATTAAGCTGGCGAAGGCTGCAAACAGGCAGAGCCCAGCCAATCTCTGGAATGGCTCCTAAGTACCTTAGCTGCCACCCCAGCGCCTCCTCTTTGGCCTGGGTAAAGCCCCAGGTCAGCAGCAGCTTCTTGACTGTAAAGCAGCACCTGCTAAAGCTCCGGCTAGCCAGGGACAGGTTGCACATCCCTTAAAATAAAATTAAATAAATGCATTTCCCCACCTCTCTTGCAGTTCAGCTCCTTTGTAATTGAGGGTTTCTCTCCCGAGTCGGGGGGTCCCACCTGCACCCGGCATTTTCTCTCCAGCCTTTCTTTCACCCTTAGCCGTAACATTGTGCAAACGATTTACGAAAGGAAAGACAAAAGATGCAGGACTCCTTTTTCACTCCTCCACGGTTTGTACTTGTATGGCTCCTAGAACGTAGCCAGAGAATCAAAGAAACACGCTGCTATTTGACAACTGTGATACTGTGATACATTTTTGATTTTTTTTCCCTAAAAACAACACACGAAAACTCTGCGAATTTTGCTTTCCTTGGGGTTGGTGTTATTATTACTCTGATTATTATTATTTTTTTTTAAGTTCGTCTCTCAGATGAAGATTTTGCCTCATGCTCCCTCCAGTCCTCTGGGGGTTGGGAGGGGGAGCAGCCCCCCGGGCCTGACGAGTCCCAGAGTAGGGGGCAGGCACAGAGGGATTATCTTTTTATTATTATTTTTATGTATATTATTTCATGTCTCCAACCGAGCTGATGCCTGCGTGCTTTTCACCATCCCCCTGAAGTGGCCCGGCAGAGTCACCTGGGAGGTGGGGACCAGAGCTGCTGGGAAGGAAGCCAGGGGTGGGGACACAGGCTGGGCTCGAGGTGCCAGCCTCCCCAAAGCTGCCAGGAGCTCAGCCCTGCAGCCGAGGGCTGCGGGGACACCCCAGCCCAGAGCCCTTGAGCAGGGAGCGGGGCGCAAATGAAGTAAAGAGCACTAATTCCTCCTCAGAGACCCTGAGAGAAGAAGCGGCAGCCTCCCTCCCCTCCCCCAGGGCTTGTGGAAATGTGTTTTGTGTGCCGTGAATGGTGGATGTCGTCTTGTCATTGTTAATAACGTGTATGTGAACGCGATTATTTTGTACAGTCAAATTAATTTATTTTCTGACATCACCCTTTTTTTTTTCTTTTTTTTTTTTTGACTTCCCTGTAACAGTACAGAGCACACCAAAGAATTATCTTATTAATTTTGGTGATAGATTGTTGTTTATGCTGATGTGGTTTGTACAAAAAAGAAATCATTATATTTTTCAGCTTACTTGAATGAACGATGTAATGTGAAACAGACTCTTCCTGCATGTCCTTCGTGCGGTGTGTTGGTGCTGATAATATATAAATTTATGTATAGTTCATAGAGATATTATATTATTAGTACAGTGCATGGTGCTGTCACTCTGGAAGCCTTTAAACGTTGTCTTCATATTGTTGTGTTGGATCTAAAGAAGCAGGCGTTACTTTGAAAACAAACAGAAAACTTGAATAGAAAATAATTTTTTAAAGCTCATTCAATTTGCTTTTTATTCGTTTTTCAAAGCCCATTTGAATAAATAGAAAATAATAAAGTGAGGTATGAACTTTTTAAAAAATAATTTATGTAATGTAATCTTATTAGAGATATATTGGTGCTGATTTATAAACGAACTTTTTAATTTATGCATTTTTTCAATAACAGATTGCACTATACATTACGACATGGCAGGGTTTATAAACTATGGCTCGGGGGGATATATCACTATTTTTATGTATTTGCTACACGTAAGGTCACACACTTGCCCAACAGTTTTATGACACATGATACCTCCTAAATAATAATAAAAAAATTGCTAATTTAAAACTTTTCATCTCTGTAAACCCCATAAAAATCAACAAAAAAAATCATGCAAATGAATAAAAATATTGTTCCTATGTATTGCATGTGCCTTACTAACAGACAAGGGGCAGAGACAGACCAGAACACCCCCTTTTCCCCCCGAGGGTCAGCAGGTAGCTTCAGACCCAGCCATAGCCCCACACCTCGGCAGGAGCAGCACCGTGAGGTCTTGGGGGCGGCTGAGGTGCTCCGGCTTTGCCCAGAGAAACCCGTGAGTAAATAGGGTTCTCCTGCGGGTTTGCCTCTGGCCTGCAGCCGGGCAGAGGAGGGATGCTCGGGCAGAGCCAGCCCTGCTCCCCCGAGGCTGCGGGCCTCGCTCCTGGGGCAGAGGGCGGGGCGCGGGCTGAGGATTTTGGGGTGCCTGGTCACGATGGAGCAGCTGGGTGCCCTGCTGCTGGCATCCCGTGCACAGGGGGAAGAGAGGGAAGGACAGACAGACAGAGGTACGACACAGGCACAGGTCAGACATTTATACACATGACATTCTTCATCTCTCTCAAGGACAGCTAATCGGAATATAAAATCTAATCAATTAACATGTTTATTTCTGTTGGGGAGAAAACCCAAAACAACACCAACAACAAAACAACAAAAAAGGGAGATTTTCCTAGCAGTGTTCTCTTGAGGATACTAATGAGTTAAATAGCACTACTCTTCGGTAGGAGCCATATAAGCGAAACCGTATGCCAGAAGATGATTCTGAAACTCAGAGTGAGGTCAGACAAGAAATAACGCCAGGAAATCACTGGAATGAAGGAGAAGAAAACCCCCGAAGTTTTCAGAAGCTGAGTGACGACAGGTTTCTCGTTTCGAGAACTGAGTAAAACCCGTGAAAAAAATTCGGGCAGAATCGTGTGTCGGCATCCTCCAGGATTATTTCCTCTTTTAATTTTCTTTTTAAATAAAATAAATTAAATAAAACTGGCTCAGAGTGATTGCGCCCCCCGCCCCGTAATTTACCAGTGCTCGAAAATGACTGGTCAAAATGTCAAGAACAGTTTCACCAAAAGGTTAGAGTGTTTTTTAAGTCAGTTTTGTTAAATGTGGTAAAGGTGAAACAGGTTGCAAAGAGTTGTTTCAAGCAGAATGACAATAACCAACATACGAAGCAGAAAAACACTCATAAATGAGGGCTCCAATCAATGGGAAAACTTATAGCTCCCTAATGAAGTTTCTTGTGAAAAGGAGGGCGACACAAAGCCACCGAGACATGAATCATTCATGGGAAATATAAAAGATAAAAGATATCTGACAATGAGCAGAACCTTGTATAGAGTGTCTAAAACAAGTTTCCCCTTCTTATTTTCTGCTTCCCCCCCCTCCAACCTCCCTCTCCTAGTGTTCCCTGCCCGCCCTATAGAGTTAACATTGACCAGTGCACGTCCTGCCCCACTTCAAAGTAATTTAGCCCAGAACGGAAGGCTTGGCGCTTGGACAATCTTCATGGTGTGTTAGGATTTCTATGGCAATTGGCAAGCAAGACGTTCCCATCTGAATATGGCTCAAAGAAAGCCACTTATTGACACTGAGTTGGCCATCATCAAAGACTTCATCTTTTCCTAGGCGAAACGTGGTCCTAGCAAACACTGTTTAAATCATCTACCTTTGTAGTCGCGGCTGGGAGACATCTCGCCACACACTATTGCTGGCGCTCGGCCCTTTAAAGGCGACAGCGGCGGCAGCGAAGTTTGAAGGGGCTAAGAAATTTCGGGAGTGTGGGAAATGGCATTGCGGGGAGGGGGGCTGGGGATATGGATAAGCGGGGCGTTCTCGGCCGAGAGTCCGGGGCTGCGCCCCCCGACGCCCCCGCCACGGGCAGGGTGTGGGACGCGGGGCAGCCGGGACAGGGCTGCTGCTTTGTTTTTCAAAGCTTGGGTGGTGGGGAGAACCGAGGATTTTCAGGGGTTTTCTCCGCGTGTTTCGTCCTTCTAGAGATGTCGCCAGGGAGTTGTGAAGCGCTGGCGAGGATGGACCGTCACACACTTCCCCCCCTCCCCCCCGCCCCCTTCCCCCGCCATCGCCCCGGAAAAATATTCCCAGGTAGAGCAGGGCAGGGCGGGTCGGGAGTGAGCGGGGACACGCACTCACACTCACACGCCGACACACACGCTCCCCCCGGCTCGGACACCCAAACGCCGGCGGGGCGCTGCCACCGCTCCCCCCGCATCCCGCGTACCCCCAGCACACACAACCACGCTCCCGCATTCACACACACACCACGCAAGTGCCTAATCAGGCAGGGAGAAGTTCAAAGGCAGGTTCTTTGAAATTCAAACTACTGCTTTTATGGTACATCAACATGGAGCGTTAGGATTGCTATGGCAATGAGCGCAGCAAAAGCAAGCTGCATTTAAAATAGTCCACCTCGATTCGAGACACTCTATTAAGATACAGTTGCATTGACCTTTAGTTTCATGCCGTGTTAGCGCAGTCAATTTTCACTTCATCAGAACGTCTCATATTTTTTGGCCTCTCTCCCAACGACCCTCCCCCTCCCCTTTTTTTTTTAGGACCCCCCCTCCCCAACTTCAGCAGATAAACAAATAACGTGAGGAAGAAGCTCCATCTCCAGCTCTTCTCGTCTTCTGCCTCCCTCTTTTTTTTTTTCCCCACCTAAGTACTTTTATTTGCAGAGCAATTGTTCTTTGTTTATTTAATACAAGTACTGTGTGAATGGTGAAAAATAAACACGATGAAAAATAACCAAACAGATGATTCCGCCAAGTGAAAAAGCCCGGACTTAATAA